GACAAGGAACCATAAGAAATTTAATGTAAATCTCTGCGGCCCAATCACAGACAACTTCATTTCTCCTAAAGTCAAATGGAGCACGATGCCTTTGGTTATGCAAATGGATATTCCCACCCTCAATGAAAGTGCCTGAAGAACCTTGAGGGTCTCTGCCACCATAATTTTCAGTTATTGAGGCAATAAGAAGATTGGAATATTAACTTGGAAAAAAAAACACCAGAAGTCATGGAAATAGCACCAAAGCAGCATGTATGGTGGAACTGATCACCCTGCACTTACTCCATGGTCCTACATGTTTGATGGAAAGATTTCATTGAATTTTGAATAAAAGACAAAATCAGCAAGTCAAATTAAAGCTATTGCAGGGCATAGGTGGATTGGACAAACCAGGAGATCTAGAAAGGACCTCCAGCATGATAAGATTAGATATTTTGAAAAATATCTTTATTGTGAGGGTGATGAGGCACTGGCACAGGTGGCCCAGGGAGATTTTGGACTCCCAGTCCCTGGAAGTGTTCAGGGCCAGGCTGAATGAAGCTTGGAGCAGCCTGGTCTCGTGGAAGGTGTCCTTGCCTATAGAAGAGGGTTGGAACTGGGTGATCTTTAAGATCCCATAAAACCCAAATCATTATGTGATTCTGTGAACACATAGAAGATCTTCAGCACAGTGATAGAGCTGGAGTTGAAATTTCAGCAGGATCAGCTCTAACCTTTCTATCACTTTGTGTGGTATGAATGTCACAATTCCTATCCAAGTCACGTTTTTATGAAACCACTTTATTTCAAGACATACTGAACTGCTGTCTCCTTCCCTGAGCATGAAAATCACATAATACGATTTCATTCCTCCGCCTGTTTGTGCACCGGTCACACAAAAAGTTGTGGTGCTACAACCAGGCTTTTCAGGCTTTTAAACACACAAATATAAACTGCTATTAAGGGTACATCACATTTCCTTGCTTAGTGCCTGGCTCATAAAACGTAATAGCTCTACAGTCTTTCCAGCATTCAAAGTAAAGTTTTTCCCTTAAGCCCTAAAGGGAAGGAGAAATTTATGTCACCTAATCTCAGCTATCTAAAAATTAGCCATGTAATCTAAGACAGTCATCTCTGTTTTAGCTGATGCAACAAATGGAGCATCTCCAGAGCACAACTCATGCAATTGTAAACCAGGAAGAGAGTCAGCTCGGGGGGGAAAGGCCTAAATGGAGATGTCTTCATGTGCATTGGGTTACAAACCTGACTTCACTCTAGAGGGGTTTGTGGCACATTTAGTTCCCCAGCCATGGGAACTCTTTGGTGTTCCAGGCACTACAGGCTGTCCCACAGAGCCTTCAGAAGGGTGTGATCTCCTCTGTGTCATATTTCCCAGCCCATGTGTCACCACAGGGCACCTGAATGGCACCAGATGTCCATGTTCAGGAAACTGAATAATTCACCAATTTCCTGGTCAGCAGAAGAGCTTTTCCCATTTAATTAACGCTATAACCATTGCTTATAATGAGATTTTGGACACTTTGTCTTCACTTACACATGGAAATCTAAACTGCAGTTATTTAATCTGGGGACTGAATCCTTCCCTAATATTCCTGATGTGCATGGATGGGTCTAGCTGTGGAAGCACATTTATCTTTCTGCTTGAGCAGAAGAGAATCCAGACAAAGAATTTTGACTAAACTCCTAATTTCTTAAGAGCAAATCACAGCAGGTATAAATTTGAGTAAAGGTGCTCAGGGTTTTGATGTTTGTTTGGAAGTAGAGGATCTTTAATGTCCCTTCCAACCCAAAAATGATTCTGCTGTTCCAAAAACAATCTTTTCTTCCTTATAGCTCTTTAGTTCTCTGTCAATAACGTCCAGCTGCTAATCTCACAGCATTTCATTCATGGACTTTGATGAAAATGTCAAAAAAATTTTTTCACATAAAGGCAGAAGCTTCACCATGAGAAGAATCTACCACAGCACAGATGAGCAGGAGTCCAAAATTTACATCTTCAGATGCCAACATTGTAAATCGTAGAAGCAACATAAAGAGTGGAATTGGATATGCAACTGAGTGTAACAGTATGGCACCAGCATAAATCAGAACATAAACATTATGAAACAAAATATTGCTGCTTTGCTGCTTGAAATAAGTTGTGGATTTCACTCAGCTTATGCTTTAAACAATGAGTGCAACAGAAATGACAAGTGGAGAAAGCAGAATAAAAAGGTGAAATGAAGCTCTAACTTATTTCTTTTTACTTTATATATAATTTTCCAGGAACAGAACCTGGCTGCCTGTAAAGCAACTGGATCCCCTGACCCCAGAACAAATTACATTTAGTTCAAGTTATGGTTATGTGGGAAGAATATTTGTGACTAAAAATGCTTGTCTTGGAACAGATGTTGAGTTAGCCAAAAGAAATTACTAATTTTAAGGTCAAGACAATCTTTCACTCTTTAAGGTCAACACAATCTTCCACTATTGAATAGAGAAATCTACCACTGAGTTTCAATTTTGACATACTGAGTTCACTATCTAGATTTATCTCTTGCTTACAAACAGAAACATAATATTTGGCCACTGACTTCTCGTGCAGCATCATTCCAATATCTGCTGACCATTTGAAATCTAAACCCATAATTGAAGTTTGGAGGTTTTTTTCAGTCTCAGGCTGCTAGTTAACAACATTTTGCATCTGCAAAAAGTAAATTTTATCACCTCTTCCAAATAAAAGCACCTCTACAAATATTTATTTGCATCCTCCACAACAAGGTGCAGCTTAGAAACAACCAGCTACCAACACTTATGTTAGTTTTGAGCTCCTGGGGGATAAGTTGCCTTTATTGGGAAACAATGTTTTTATCTCTGCTGCACTGAATTGTTCAGTTTGGACATATTCTGAGACATAAAATTCAGTGTCTCCTTCAGGACACGATTTGGGAAAGACATCAGCTCCTGAAAGTTTATGTTTTTAGACAGTCTCTCAGCCTGTTCTAGTCTTGATATCTCACACATTGTTATATCTCAGGTTATCTCCTGCATCACTGTAATAGGTCTATATTTCATAAAACACAAAGTTTGATTTCTGCAGTGATTGATACCACTATTTATTGTCCATTTGTGAGATGACTCTTCTCCTTGAGCTTTAGTGCTGTAATCAGAATGAAGGAATGCTTCTGGTTGAAAATATTATCTGCCAATAAATGCTCTTTTAGGATGGCCCAAAAAGATAGGTTTAGCAGTAGGGTAATTTACAGAAGTGGAAATAAATGGAAAATGACAAAAAAATAAAAAATGGCAATTTTTGTCAGGAAATGCAACTTGATCAAATTTCCCAGGACTTAAGACAGCATTAAATGGGGTAAGAAAAAAATAAATAAATAAATAAATAAATAAACTATAGGCTCGGATGTTCATGTAGGATATTCACGTAACAATATTTTTTGTTGTTCATGCTGAAAAAACGAAATAATTGTCCAAATGGTTTCCACCCTCTCTGCCCTTCCCATTATTCGAGTGGCCACCATAACAAATCTCAGCAGAAGGAGGACCTCAACCCACTACTGGTGTCTGCATGGACATGGTCTCTTCTTGATATGAACTGCTTTTTTATTGAGTATTTTTATAATCTCTAGAATATATATTTCGTCCCTAGGTACTCCAGATCTTTCACAAAGAAAAAACTCTTTCAACTCCTTGAGTGGCTTGATTTAACCCAGATTTATTAGCCAGAAAATTCCTTCAAGGCAGTTTGGTAGATTAGAGCAGTTTCACTGTGTGGAGGTGCCTGAATGGAGAAATTTGAGATCCAAATTAATAGGTTTTAACTAATGGCAACTTAAATCTGAGAAAAAAATGATCACTTGTACATCATTTGCTCTTCCTGGAGTTATTATCTTACATCATGTCTGCATTAAGTACTTAACGGGTTCATTATTTCATCAACACACTCAGTTCCAGCCATTACCAGCAAATGTGGTCAGGTCATGGAACAGAGCTTTAAGTAGAACAGTTGGACATTTCCTAGTCTGCAAATCCCTTCAAACATGGGTGTCCCATGAGTGTTTCAAAAGAATGAGACCATCTAGCTCATTAGTCTAATAATTAGCATCTTATAAGAGACATTCTGCAGCTCCCCAGTATTCTAGAGGTACATCTGAAATGTGAATTTGTATTTCCCAGGTATTTGTGTCACTTCTTTGACCGGTATCAAACAGACTGAGTGCAACTGGATGGTTTTGAGCCTGCACAAATTCATTGCAGATAACAGGCATACTTTTTTGTCTTAAATGAAAGGAATTTTGTGTGCAGTATCTGAATTAACTCCTCAGCAATGCTGTGAAGGTGGGATGTTCATGCTGTACTCAGGAACTGCTCCTGAACACATATAAAATATTCATCCTTAAAGAAATCAGTATTGTACCATGAAAATTACATGAAATGAAAAAATTGAACACTTGAGGTGTCTGAAGGAAGGTACCTGTATGGTTGTGATCCAGCTGCCAAAATGCAGAAATCTGAAGTCATTATGTCCCAACTGGAGTGCTGTGTCCAGCTCTGAGGCTCCCTACACAAGAAGGACATGGACCTGTAGGAGAAAATCCACAGGAGACCATGAAGATGATCTGGGGGCTGGAACACCTCTGATATGGAGAGAGGCTAGGAGAGCTGGGGATGTCCAGCCTGGAGAAGGGAAGGCTCCAGGGAGACCTCAGAGCCCTTTCCAGTGCCTGCAAGAGAGCTGGAGAGAGACTTTTTCTAAGGGTAAGTGGTTATAGGAGAAGGGGGAATGAACTTAAACTGACAGAGAGTAGATTTAAATTAGCTATTGGGAAAAAAGTCTTTACAGTAAGTATGGTGAGGCCCTGCTGCTGCTTACCCAGAGAAGCTGTGGACTCCCAACCCTTGAAAGTGTTCAAGGCCAGGTTGGAGGAGGCTTGGAGCAACCCAGTCTAACAGAAGGTGTCCCTGCCCATGGCAGGGGGCTGGAATGAGATGATCTTGAAGGTCCCTTTTAATCCAAACCGTTCTGTGAGTCTGTGATTCTGTTTGAGTTGTAATAAGGTAATCAAAACAATGATACTGTGCTGGCAGACATCTCACAGGACACACAAGAGGCAGAAGCCCTCCTGAAGCATCCAGTGACAGAAAGGAGATAAGGAAGGCAACTCAACTGGTATTAGATGCCCACAGGAGTCCTGTATTTGCCATCTGTGCTCCCTTTATACTTAGTGGAGCTCTGAAGCTGCCCCAGTTACTCATGGACAAGGGTCACACCATGGATTTGGGGCTGGAAGTTAAAACACCGGACAAAGGGAACATTAGACTTTTCTAGAGTTACCTTGCAATAGCCCCAAAGACACTAAATACCTATATTTCAACAACTGAATCCTGCTCCTGTCTTTGATTTTACATTGCACAGAAGATACAAAGAGTTTTCCAATTCCTCAAAATAAATCCCCCCTAGAAACAATAACTTCTTAAGCAAACCCTGGAAAGCACCAAGCTCAGAAGTTACCAATGGATGCAGATAAAGAAAAGACTTGAAGTGTGGCAGGAAAAGAAGAGCATTTTCCAAATTGGCATTTGTACACACAAATAAGCAGCACTTTGATCCATTCCTGTGTATGTCAGCTGCACCAGGACACAGGAATAGCCAGGGGCTCCTTTCCAAAAGAATTCCATAGTAAGTCACAGATGCCTATGACCTCAAAGAACCTGCTCAGCACCTGAGGCAGCAAGTTCTACACCTGAAGCATTTGGTAATGAGGTTTCTGCAGAGATACAATTTTAGATGCTCAAGCTGAAAACAACATAGACATTAAAAAAAAAGAAACCTGGCCTGGACCACTGCCAAGAGCTGCTCCGAAACTGACTCTAACTGTTCCATTTACTCTCATGATAAATAGGATGGTTTAATGGAAACACTGTACACAAAACTGTACTGCTCAGGTAATTACCTTGATTGAAACAAGTGTTTTTACACTGAAAGCAAAATTTCCCTGGAGTTAAACCAAACCTCAACAAGAACAAGACCTCTGTGGAGATGCAGTCATATAAACAAGTTTGTGTGCTAATTATTTTCCTGTGGTTCTTTTAATGAGTCACTTGCTAGAGTCCACTGGTCACAAAGATGATTATTTTAATGATGATTCATAGAATTTGGGTACACATTGCAAACACCAAGTGCTGCAGCAGTTGCTATGGCAGGAAAATGTGTGTGGTTTGTTCCTCAAATAGCAGAGTAAATAATTGCATGACGGCTTGTTCCTCCTCCAGAGGGTCTCCCAGTGTTGGAAATTGTCTTCAGGGAGCTCACCACATTCAACATTTCCACCCACTGTTTTTTTCCTGAGCTTGTGGATAAAACCCTTAAACACTTGTTTTCCCATGCAAAGCTCATTTTTTAGCTTTTTTATTTTTTCCCCAGCACTGGAGACTTAGAGTTTGATTCTGGTCTCTTTTACCTTGGTGCAAATCAGGAGTAAACCTCTTTTTTTTCAGTATTACCAGACTCTCCAGCTACAGAAAACAGCAGAGAAAAAGCAAATCCTCTCTCTTCACAGAGGGCAATAAGGAACAAGGTGGTATTTAAGACAGGTAAAAAATACTCAGTTTTAACAGGGTTGGGTTTAGTCCTGTCCCCCTTGAAAAGTACATACATATTCTAGAAAACTCTGTGATTTTGGCCTGACTGTTTTCTAAATCCAAATTTTGGATGTATTTTTAAAGAGAAAGTGCTGAAATAAGACCACCATCCCTACGGCACAGGGAAAGAAACAGCACATAATGAAAAAGAATTTTAAAAAGTATATGAGGAGTTGAATTCCTGGTAGTTATCCCTCCTGAGCACCCGAAATTAGCAGCCAGAGAAAGGAATAAAAAAGTGACACATAGAGCTGAAAATCAATTTTAAAGGGGAGCATGTTAAAGGGGAAAAGGAACAATGTGGGTTAATCTGATGGAGGTGGGTTTTCTCATCACCAGGGATTGATAAACCTGCCAAGGAAGGTAGCTCTGCCTAACAGTTCACTTCACTGAGGCTCTTAAGCATCTGCTTTATCTGAAGGGTCTTTATTCTAAATAAATGATACTTCTCCATACGGCAGCTATTTGCTCACAGATTGCAATGTTCATTGCCCCAAAAGAAGCAGAACAGAGAGGCTGAAAGCTAAATCAGACTCGATGCAGCTATAACTGGTATTAGGGAACTGCAGAGGGGAAAACCTTTCCGGGGGGAAGATAGAGCTGATGCCAACCCCCTTCACGTGATGGGTTGGAGCCCAGAACCAGAAATAAAGGATCACTGAATAGGACAAGGGAGAGGAAAAATCCCTCCCTGGGAAAGAAATGTTATGGCAGCATCTTTGAGGAATCACCCTTGACGTGATTCCCCTGAGCTGTACAAGCTTTTAGCAGGTTGTTAAATCTCTGTACAGCTCATGTTCACAGGCCATTAATCATCCTTCAATTAGTGGAGTGCAGCTGAGATTTTCTCCTGCCTGCTCGGTGCCCAGCTCCTCAGGAGGGACAGTTCTGCTGTGGGAAGATCAGAATCTGGACAGCTGTGCTGGTTTGGGCTGGGCTAGGGTTAATTTTTTTCACAGGATATAATATGGAGCTGTGTTAGGGATTTTTAATGAAGACAGTGCTGGTAAGACAGAGTTGTTTCAGCTATTGAGCAGAGTTTACAGAGTCAAAGTCTTTTCTGTTCCTCACCCCCCCAGTGAGTGGGCAGGGGGTGCACAAGGAGTTGGGAGGGGATACAGCCAGCACAGCTGACTCTGAGCGATTCAGGGGATATTCCAGACCCCACTGCACCATATTTGATTGTAAATCTGGGGGAGAAGCAGGACAGGGGGCACGTTTGGAGTGGTGGAGTTTGTGTTCCCAAGCCACTGCTATGTGTGATGGAGCTGGGGGATGGCCCAACACCTGCCTGCCCAAGGAAAGTAGTGAATTAATTCCTTGCTTTTCTTTGCTTGCATTTGCTTTACCTATTAAACTGTCTTAGTGTCAACCTATGAGTTATCCCACTTTCCATCCAATTCTTTTCCCCATCCCTCCAGCAGGGAATGAGCGAGTGGCTGTGTGGGGCTGCGTTGCTGCCTGGGGTTAATCTACACCAGCACTTTTTGGCACCCAGCACAGGACTTGGAGGGTTCCAGATAGCAACAGACTTGATTGGCATATGCTGGATCGAGCTGTTACTGCTGTTTAGCTGTTAATTGACAGCTCCTGTGCTTGTCATGGGACTCGTTTGCCTGTCTATTCAAGCCCAGTGCTTGTTAGTGGCTGCTCTTTTCTTCCACTGCTCGCTGCATTGCTGCTCTGCTCCTCATCTGACTGTGCTGGGAATGCTCTGAGAGCAGCAGCAGGGATGTTCCTGCCCTGGCAGATGGCCAGGGAGTCACTGCTGCTCCTGTGCTGCTCCACTGGACAGGCTGGAACTCCAGCATGAACTTGAGCTGGAGGGACAGCAACCTGTGGATGAGTCCACATGGGAGCAGCACCCCTGAAATGTCTGTGGCCATGAATCAGCCCAGCCAGAGCAGGTAAATCTCGACATAGCTGTGTCTGTGTCTGTGCTGCAGGTGTCCCTCTGAAGGGTTTGAGGCCCCAGGCTAAGTCCATGCTCCATCACATAGACCTGGAAGCATCAGTGGCTGTGCACAAAGTCAGAGGGCAGAGCAGAAAGAAATGAAAATCAGGAAAAAATGTGTATTGGTAGTTCTGTGCTATGAGATGATCATGTAAAAAAAGAAAATACAATTGGATTCTGCATTGTTTTCCCAAGCACTGATCATTAGAAGGTTGGGCCTCACAGGTTTTGGAGATAATTTGAAGCACACGTGAAAATTCAGCAGAAGTCTTCTACCAGGGTTTGCACTGAGCTTGGCAGAGAGATGTGCATGGGTAGGACATAAACTGTTTTCAGACCTGCCACTGGTTTTGCATCCTAACAAACATTGAAGACAAGATGTGTGAAATTGACAGTTCCAGAATCTGGGAAAAAGACCACACTGCAACAATAATGATCAAAGTAAAGAACCATCTGCTGCTATGGCTTGAGCAGCAAAAATGTTTTCACAGCTCTAAAGAGAAGGAGGGGGAGGCAGAGCCCTGGTAGGAGCCCAAAACACCACAGTGAGAAGGTGCAGAGATGAGGAGAGAGGCAGAAAAGGCTGCAGATGTGGCAGTGCTTTGTTTGGCATCCGCTAAGACATCACTGTAAGGAATCAAAAAATGTCAGAACCTGATGCCTGCAATCCCAGAAAGGAAAAAACAGCAGCTTTTCAGCCTGATCCAAACATGGGCTCCCCACCAGTTGAGGCAAGAAGAGCGAGTACAGAGACACCATTCAGACAGTGCACAGCACATGGTCGAGACCCATGGCCTCCCATCAGGCAGAAGGAGCCAAAATTAAGCTCCAGCTGGTAACTGAAGTAGACTGAGATGTTCAAGACCTTCCTCTTTGCACCTCTGAGCTCTTCAGCAGCCCATCAGAGCCCAAAAAGACCCAAAGAAAAGCAGGGAGCAGCAGCCACAAGAAGGTGAGGACAGTTGCCACCACAGAACAGCTGCTGAGTCCGACATCTCCACAGGTTTTTAGACAGCAGCAGCTGCTCATAAAAGTGGAAGCTGGTTCTTTCTCAGCACCAAGCCAGAGACATTTTGTGAAGAAGAGGTATTTGGCCAAGAAAGAATTTAGCTTTGTAGCAAACACACAGGCAGCCACACAAAATTCATATTTGCTTCAGTCTGTTGTTGATCAGAGTGGTGCAAGGTATGTGATCTCTGGAAATAGTAACAGGATAGTTATTTTTATAGAAATATAAATTTTTAACCTGTCTCTGACATCTCATGGAAATACTCCAACCATTGCCCCGAGTTAGAAAATAATAATTCTAATTGTGTGATCACAGAGTCTTCCTTAGGTATATTCTGAGATAGATGACAACAGAGAGGACAACTGAAAGAATCACCAGTTTCTTCATCCTCTGGAACAATTCAAATACATTAATATATTTCATATAATTGTTAAAGCTGGAAAACCTCTGAGATCATCACCAGCTTCCAACCCAGCAGCCTACCATGTATCCCCTTGACCTCTTTCCTCAAGCGCCACATTCACACGGTTTTTGTAAACTTCCAGGGATGGTGACCCCACTGCTTCCCTGGGCAATCTGTTCCAGTGCTTGACAACCCTTTCTGTGAAGAGACTTTTCATTATATGCAATCTAAACCTCCTCTGATGCAACCTGAGGCCATTTTCTCTTATCCTGTCCTTCTTTTAGATTTCTGGCAGAAATTATGCCATGTGCCCATTTGCAGAAAAAAAACAAAACAGATGGGACACACTATTGACAAAATCTGGGATGGCTTGATAATTTAAAGTCCTCAAAGCTGAGCAAAAATTCTGTAGGGTTTTCAGGATCTAAAACTTTGAGTTGGGTGCTAAGAGTAGATTAAATTATTGTCTTCTTGAGGTGTCTATTTCCACCAAACCTACAGGGACACCAGACAGCTGACTTAGAAAAAGCTCTTAGCTTTTAGCCAGCTAAAATTGGATGGTATAATCACCTAACGCACTCCCCAGCCATTTTATATATCCAGCCCTGCTGACAGCTGGGTCTGCTCTA